CTCAACAACACTCAAGTGCTAATTACCAGCTTGTTAGCGATTTATCATTCTGTTCGTGGTTTCTTTTCTGGGGGATTATCCGAGGACTGTTCTGAGGACTGCTCGGCAGCGTTTTTCCTCTTCGGGCCGCCTTTCTTGCGGAAGGCAAAGAGCAGGTACATACAGAATGCTTCCCATTCAGACTTCGAAAGAGTGCCCTGAAAGACGCATAGATGTGAAAGCATATGACTATAAAAAGGCTAAATTAATCCTTCATTCGCCTTGACTCCTTTTATTCGTCGAGAAAGGAGAGACAGAAGGAGTTCAAAATGAACAAAGGGGTAAAAAAGTTCACAAAAAAGAAAAGAAATAGTTTAGCAGTTTCACGCTTTTCTACATCAAACATCTTCAATTCGCCCAAAGTTATTCGACTTGCATTTATATACGCTTCATATCCCAATGACGGTGAAGGCGTGGCTGCGCATCTGGCTTGAACACGGCGCGGGATACGTTTCTTTTCTGAGATAATTCTCTTTGAGGCGGCTGTTATCCTTGTGCTGAACATCGGCAGCACTACAACTGTACTAAAACGGCAATATCTCACCAAAAGCGCAACCGCCGCTATGTTGAAACGAAGTACGCGGCCACGCCCACTACAGCTTCAGGATATGGAGTACATTTGTTTACATTTTGGATAGGGAAAACTGCTGAAGAAATACTCTTGATGTCAGCTGAGGTGCACCGTTGAAGAAACCAAACTACGACTCCCGAAAAATGAGAGAGGGCGACCGAAAAACCTAGCCATCGTCTCCCTTCCTGGGTGCATCATAGCGCCTCTGTCCGATGTAATTGCAGCCGTTTCGCCTCTTAAATTATCGAAGAATTAGGAATTATCCAGCTCATTCTCTAAAGGGATTACACCGGGATAATGCACGCGTACGAACCTGAGTGGTATTACTATGATTATCAACATGTGAAAATTGCAAATGCCCGTACAAACTGATCCTTCTAATTGAGTTACTGCATTGTTTAAAATCTTCAGAAAAAAATGCTCCACGTTGGGAATTCTCGGAAACCTATCGCAAGAGTGCCGAGGCATGGGCAATGATCAGACCCCAGGCGGGATTCGAACTCGCATGTTCCGCTTATTACACGACGTTCACCGATCTTACCTTCTCAGCTCAAGGCCTTTGAGCGAGTTCGAGTCCCGCCTGGGACCTGACTTTTGCCCATTTCTGAGCAGTGATAATTTTTGGAGCGCGCACTGCGGATGGAACAGCAATTATCGAACCAAAACAGTTCTAATGTTAAAAACTTGCTTCTGGTTTTGTTTCGAGCATCCTCTGAACCACAGGAGGAAGCTAACTAAAGCGCTACTGTCTAAATCGGTGAAGAGAATGCAGTCGAGAGGAAAAAAGCCATAAGGCGGGAAGAGGGTTTTGTCACGGGAAGAGGGTTTTGAAGTGGAAGGCAGGGCACGCCATCGTTGTGATAATCACGGCGGGGGGAGGGGAGTCGTATTCGACCGCGAGGGAGGGGGGTCGTATTTTTCAGGAGTTTATCACAACGCGAGGCGTGCCCTGGTAGGAGGTCAAATTGATTCAGTCAGTGAAGCAGTGAGTTCCCAAAAATGTCACGAAGAGGAGGTGGGGTCAGACCATAGCAACGATGTGTCGCAAACCACGTAAATATCAGGAACGTTTACGAACTCATAATATGAATCAAAAAAAACTCCAAAAAGCAGTTGCCGGCGCTCAGACCACCAAAAATGGTACTTGTGCTTCGTTTGAGCTGCACCAATCAACCAATCACAAGACAATTTTTGGCAACTATTTGTGTAACTTCGCTCATTCTGAGAACACTTACAATCTTTGGAGGCTCGTTTGGATCGAGAGTTTTCAGTAACTCCTTGGCCACTTCATATTCCGATTCATCTGCTGACAGCTTTGCACCGTTCTTAGCTGGATACGGTTCAAGGGCCTGCAAATAAAACCTTTAAAAAGCCTTATTTGATGGGGTTTTTGATGATGTTAAGATGTGAACCAAATTCTTCTC